GCAGCTTGACATTAACTCCGAACCACTCCCATGCCCTGCCGCAAGCAGAGCGTGGCACCGCCGCCGATGAGTCTGTCCCGCATTCGTTTAATTTGGAGGAGCTGAGCGCGTGGCGTGATCGCAAAGCCGCGGTGGATTCCACCGTCGTGGACTGGACTAAGCCGGGCATTTCGGTTGTGCCCTTCAAGAGCAACACCCCCCACCCCCACTCCTACGCTCCACGCCCCACAGTCTGCAAATACCGGGACGGGTTTCCAACTATTTACAGCGTCTGGTTTGCCTGCGTCACGGAACTGGCATTGTGCTGTAATCTCGCCCGAGTTGGAATGCATTTGCTCTAAGTCCCCGTGTATACGCAGGGCGCGCTGACTGCTGTCGCTTCTGTTAAATTGCCTGCTCCGCTCCAAATCCCCAATCTCGTGGGGCACTAAGTCCTGGCTCGAGGATTAAGAATAAGTTCTTATCCCGCACTGTTTAAAAAAAGCAAATACGGCCACTCCTGAAAGCTTATCACTTTGTCTTATAAGCCTAATCCATACCCTGTCCGAACAGGCACGGAAGCGACTGTCAGATTTCATCATCGTGCAGAGGCGCTGGCCAAGGTGAGACCCCTGCGTATGGGGGCTGGGGGGAGAGGGAGGGCTGCCTCTTGTGGGGGTCTGCTTGCCATGGATGTGGGGGTCCGTGGGGCAGTGGGAGGGCCGCGTGCCCCGAGCCGTGCCCCCACAGTGAGGCAGCGCTTCCCCACGTCCTCTATGAACAGGAGCACGGTGAGTGCCAGGCACAAGCAACCCATGTAACCCGAGGCCTTCATTCAGCACTCTGCTGACATTACACATTTATATTTATGATCCCTTCAGCCTGTCCATGCCTCTGGGATTGCATGCAATGAGCACACAACAGTGAGCTCTTGCTATGGAGAGACTCATCCCTGGCATTGGAATGAGGAATGTCCACCACTGGGTCAGGGTAGATTAGGGGGTTCGTAATTGCCGGCACTGCTGAAATTCCACGTTTGAATCCTGGCAGCCGCCCGTGATTAAACCGGGTCCTCAACTTTGGCAGCCGCCCAATAAAACCCATCATTATGTGGCTTCGGCTGTGAGAATTAAAATAATCGTTTATACGGCGCCCTTAAACAATGGATATGAAAGCGCCGTGCGTGTAAATGAGGAAGGGGTACGGGGAGAGAGCCTCAATAGAGAGAGAGCACCAGAGAGAGGAGGCCTATGTAAGGTTCACTTTGACACGCAACTGATATTGTGCAAACAAAGGGGGTGTCCAAACAAAGGGGGTATCCAAAGCAATGTCCCTGGCACACGGTGGTGCACTTCCTCGTAACGTGACGCCGACAGTGCAATTGGCATTTAATTGGGAAGAAAGCAAAGGCAAACTCAACATGCTCGTATTGACCAAACCGATTTCCTCCATCAGCTGAACATCCTCCACGTACCTTGCCTAACGGGTTATGCTGTGTTAGCAGCGATGCACAAATAACAACACATTCAACACGCTCGTCAGTAACACCGCGTGGCGCTAAAAGGAGACAAATATAATAGGCGACGTTTCAGGCAATGGCCCTTCTTCATTAAAATTGTACTGTTGCATGAGTGCCACTCCAACGTAGCATGGGAGGAGATGCGCTGCCACCTTCCACGAACTGACGATCACAGAATCGCCGAACTGCGACTGCGATGAAGTCCAAACCATCAACCGCATATTCTTAGGTCTTTTTCGGTAAAGTCACGTAGGTAAAAAATTAAAATTCATAAAAGTAAAAAAAAAAATAACGACGTTTCAACCGCATCACCGACGAACGCGCTCCGGTCCCGGCGGCGTGACCGCGATCCGCACGGCGCTTTGAAAAAACACCTCGCGCTCAACTCGGACGCGTTTCAACCTCTAGTTTGCTTTTCCCTTCCTGCCATCCGAGAGGCGAGGACTCGGGTAAGTGCTGCCGCCGCCGCCGCCGCGGTGATGGCGTGCGATCTGGACCCGCGTGGCAGCCCCGGGCGGCGCTCATCGTCGGGGTGAGCGAGCCAAAGAGCCGTCGCTTTGAACTCCCCGCTGTCTCGTTTACGCTCGAAGTAGTCCAGAGGGAAACAGGGAGAGAGATAGAGAGGGGTGGTGGGGGGTTTAACACAGAAGCCAGCAAGGACGAGGGGTAGCATCGCAGCTACTGCTGCTGCCGCCCGCGCGTCCCGTCCCTGTGTTTGGTTACCAGGCGATGAGGTCGCGTGCCCACAGAGCCGACGCGGTCGCACACGGTTCCCATTACGACGTGAAACCGTGTAAGGGCAAATTAGGTGAGCGCGCTCTGGGCCAGAAGAAAGCGAATAAATGATTAAAACTTGCTGTGCTCCCTCCCGCGGTGCCAATCAATTCGTAACCCCCACACACACACACACCCTGCCCCCCATCCCTTGCCCCTCCCCATCGCCCCGCAAACCGAATAAAATCCGCCGCGCGGAGCGATGCGTGGGCGGTGAGCGTGGAGTGCGCGAATGTCACGGGGAGGAGTTCGCGCGCGCGCGGCGCGCCTGCCAGCCCTGCCCGACGGGGCATCTGCGGCACCAGCGACGTCGTCGCCGCCGCTTTCCAGGCGCCCTCGTGCTCGCGACGCGCGCAGCTCCGTCCCCAACGCGACCACTGCGCAGCCACCTAGGGTCTCTCTCTCTCCGGTTGACGAATCGACATCCTCTGCAAGATAATCTCTATTGAGGCTCCTATTCTCGCCTGCCTCCGTCTCTCTCTCCCCAGCGTGCTTCATCTTTTTCATTCATGTCGCTCTCGTGCCAACTGTCTCCATCTGTCTCTCTTTCCTCTCCCCGCCTATCTCTCAAATTCCTCTCCACCCTCCACTCTCTCTCCATCTCGTTCTTCTATCTCCCCCCCCCCCCTCTTCGCTTTCGCCACGTCTCAACCCCTCTCCCTCTCTCTGTATTCCTCTCTCTTGCTATCTCTCACTTCTCTCTTTCCTCGTCTATCTGTCCTCTCTCTCCATGTCTCTCTATCCACTTTGCTCTCTCCACCCTCTCTCCGTTTCTCTTCCCTCCCCTCGTCTCACTTTCTCCCCTGCTCTGTCTCTCTAATATCCAAGTGCAGGATGTTTTTTGCCGATGAAACTGCCTACGGAGACGAGCGAAGCCGCCTTCGACGATGCTGTTGTTTGTATCTCCACCGCGCTCCTCTCGGCGTCTCCTGCCTGCTCCGTCTCGTCGATTCTCCGCCACGCGAGTGAAGCCGGGGTCCATGATCGCGCTCGCCGCGTGCATCTGTGCGAGCGAGACGACGCCCGCCTGCGTCTCGACTCGAGAGAAAAAGCATTCCCCGACAGCTTGTCGCTACGCAAGCACTTTGCATGTCACGAGCTGCAGGTAGAGGCGCAGCCCCGAAACGTCTTGCTCACGCCACTGCTGGCGGGAGGGTCCCCCAGTCGAGGGGATTGGGGCCCAGAGGTGTTAAGAGGGTGGGAGTCCCCACACTTGACCCCACTGCACGCGACCTACCGATCGACTGACTGTGGTGCCCCCATTTAATCGTTACTACGATGATGAGCCAAGAATGTCTGTGCGTCCCGCGCGTGACGTCACTCCACATGCCGCACCCCCCGTCATTAATATTCATGAACGGGTGGATTTTTCCACTCACGCAGAAGGCCCAGTGTGAACATTCCACATTCCCATGGTTGGGGCCAGTCTCGACGTGTTGTCGCTGGGATTATGGGCCGAGTCGACCCTTGGCCGACGGCCAGGTGACCGCTAGATGGCAGTGCAACAACGGATTCTTAAATCCATCTTTGTGGAAGCGTCAGCGCTTTCCCCACCTCGTTGCGTGGAATTTCCCCAGGGTGCTCGCAAGGTTTCTCCCCGCGCAAGGCCAGACTCCCATCGGGAGGCGTTGGTCGAACGTGCCGATGCAACAGGACCCTCCTTGAAGAAACACGAGTCTTGAGACTGAGCGAGGCTTTGCTGGGCAAACAAACAGCATCATCATCTTTGTATAATTGCGATTGTTCTTGTTGTTGTTTGCCCTGACACGGGGCACACGGTGGCTCGTCCTCGCCAGCGAGAGCACAACAGGGCCCGTACCGCCCGCTCCGCGGCAGACGGCCGGCTTTGCGGGAGCCGGAGCTAAGCGACCGGTGGTAACCGTAAACGATTGAGTTGCCAAACGCCATAATGCAACCCTGTATCAAATCATGACTGGATGCACCTGACGATTAATGTCCCACGTGGGTCCGGAGAGCAGAAGCAATTTTATTCGTGGCCTCCGAGTTACAGAGCCCTGATTGCCGCGCGTTGCACAGCAGCAGCAGCAGCTGCCGTGCATCTGGAGTCGTTCCCGAGACGCGTCGTTAGACGCGATGTCCGACGTTTCTCTCTCTCTCTCCACGCGCTAGGAGCCGTCAGTGGCATAGAAAAGGGAGGTGCGGGCGAAGCGTTGGACATGAATGGTGGGGGGGGGGGGGGTCAGTGGGGGAACAGCTATGAGAGCCTCAATTCGGTTCCTGAAGAAGCTCTCAGCACATTAAGGGAAACGTCGGACATGATGCCGAACCGCACGCGGAACAACCCGAAAAAACACCGGGAGCGCTACCGCAGATTTCACGATCACAAAGTCCGCGCGCAGATCGCGGCCTCCATCGTAATCGCCCCCCCCCCCCCCCCCCGTTGCTGTCGTCACAATCGTCAACGGTGCCCCGATGATGACACCGGGGCCAGACACCTGCACTGTATGACGTCGTCATGGCGACGCGAGGGGGTCCCCGGGATGGAACCGCCTCCCGCACGTGGCGCAGGCCCCTCGTGGTGGTCGCGTTGCGAGCCCACTGCGTTCTGTTCGCGTTGTTGCTCCGGTCAGATTGTCCGGGTGCAGTTGTGCGTGTGTTGTTGGGGGGTCGTGTGGCCTGGCCACATTACACCCCCCCCCCACCACCTCCCCGTCAAGGGCTCGCAGAAAAGTGGCGACGTCAAGGGCCCAGGGGTGGTTAGAGAAGCGCCGAGAGGAGATGAGTGAAAGTGTCTCTCAAGGGAACTCCTCCTGCTCCTCCTCCTCCTCCACACGCGGCCAGAAAGCGCAGCGCCGTCACGGCCGGGCGTGAGCCCTGCACGAGGTGGGACGGGGCTCGCCACCCACCCACTCACCTGCTCACCACCCACCCACCCACCCGCCCGTCTGCTCACCACCCACCCGTCTGCTCACCACCTACCCACCTGCTCACCACCCACCTGCCCGCCCACCCACCCACCCGTCTGCTCACCACCCACCCGTCTGCTCACCACCCACCCGCCCACCTGCTCACCACCCACCCACCCGCTCGTGTCCACGCACGCAGCGGCGTTCTGGTTGACTGCGCCCGAGGTGGGGGGCGCTCCGGCGTCGTAAAAACCCAACCACGTGGTGCTGGAAGGAGATTCATCTTTTGCCGTCGACGTTCTGTGTCGCGACCCGTGGCACGGCCCTCGGGCTCCCCTTACTCGCCTGTCGCAGCAGCAGTAGTTGGTGGCGGTGAGACAGATGCGAGAGGAGCGTTCCCATTTTCCTTCCGCTCCGACTCACGGCCCGACGCACGTCAAAGCCCCCATGCGCTCGCTCACTCGCCAACAAATAAAAAAAAGACAAAATGCGCCCACCGCGATTATTGTAACGGCCGGGTGCTTTAAAAGGACTGAATTTCAAACATGTGTTTTCAATTAGGCTACACGGCTGCCTTCAGATCTCTCCGTCTCCAGAGGGAAAAAAAGGAGCGTGGGGAGAGGAGGACGGCGTGAGTCGTCGGGCAGAATCAAATCTGTCGGCGAATCGCGGCGTGAAGGCGCTCCTCCTGCGATGGTCTCCCCGGGATCCCCCCCCCCCACCTCCCCCATGTCCACTCCACCCCCCTCATTCCCACAGGAAGGCGGTCGATAACAACACAGCGAGTGGGATGACAGAGACGAGAGCGAGGGAAACGCGGCAGTGCTGGGAGGAAAAGGGGACTGAATGAACAAAAGACTTTGAGAAGAGAGCCATGAATGTTTGATATGAAAACCACGACTCCGAATGAATGACCCAAGAGACAACGTGCCGGAATGAAAGAACAATGTCAGACCAGAACCCTGAATGAATGAACCAGGAGACCGGCGCCTGGCGTGAGCGACACGAGACAGAGGGGCGAGCCCAGACCGGTCAGCTGCGCAGTTTCCCACTTGGCTACGCGAAATATAAACACTGCCGTCAGGGCGGGGGGCGGGAGGGGGCTGGAGGGGGAAATGGTGGTGGGGGGGGGCAGCCGTTGTGTGTGGCCATCAACCGGGGCTCCGCGCGGGCGGTCGTGTCTCCCCGACGCTCCGGGGACGTCGGGGAGACACGAGCGTCGGTCCACGCGCTCGTCGTCCGTGATGGGAGCTCTCCGTGGCGGCGGCATCGGCCCCCTCTCGGGGTGCACCGTCTGGCTGGTGCAGTGCGGCTGTATGACCATACTTCACCACACTGGTCACATCTGTGAGAAAAATAAATGGCCAAGTTTGCCCACGGGGGGGTGGAATTGGCGAACATTCTGCCCAGTCGCACAGCCAACAACGATAACGATTCGTTTTTGATGGCGCGCCCTTCACGCCGGGGCGTCTGGGAGAGCCTCGCACGCGAAACGCCGCCTCACGTCTCAACACACGCGCCAGGCAGCGCTTGCCTCTTTCGGCAGCCCTGAATCGAGGGTGGAAATTCCACATTCCTGTGGAGGGAACCGCGACGGACGGTGCAAACGGCTCGGTGGCTCCCCGCACGGTGCCCATCGGCCAGCCTGGCGGCTTGCCACGCGGCTTGCCACGCAGCTTGCCACGCGGCTTGCCACGCGGCGCAGTCGCGGGGTTTGCGCTACTGCGGCCAAGGCGGCGTTTGGGAGTTTTTCTCAGGCCGTGAAAGGGGCGCGGTAACAGCGTTGGTGCGCGGCACGGTGGGGGGTGAGGACTCGTGGAACGTCCGCACGAGAGATGTGGCGCACGCGCGCCGCGTACGTGAGCGCCGTGTACGTGAGCGTCGCAACTCCGCGATGGGATCGGTGGATCACGCAAAGATCCCCACGTGTCAAAACGGATGCTCACCCGCAGGGCCACAGGGAGGTGTTCGTACGAGGCAGTACAGCAAGTAGGTTCGTGATCTATCCGTACAGCAAGAGTTTGAGTGTTATATCCTGTCTATGCGTGGTTTTTTCCTAATCTTCGCTCACAAGTAAAACGTTTTTGCACGTAGGTGGCCAAACGTTGAGAATGAGCTTCGAGACAGCTCAACCGATTGGCTCGGCTGGTAATTCCAGCCGGCGCTCGGCCGATTCTTGTTTAAAACTAAAATAAATATGCGGGAGATATCGATCGGCTCAAACATCACGGCCCGTGTAGGAATGAATGCTTCCACAACCCGGCCAATAAAGATTTCAGTGATAAATTGTTTGAATGCAAATAAAAGTTGCTGTTATTTTTTTTGTTCAACTCTCCGTACACGGCGCGGCAGCATACGGCAACCTCTCGGCGCACATCCGCAGTCTAGGGTGCTAATTAACGCACACAACCTCATTACTCACATTAACGGCCACGTCGCAAAGGAGGAATAAAGTGGGCAGAGGCGCGTGTGCTGCCCGCAGTCGGCACGCTGAGTTATTGCCGGATTCGCATCCCAAGGCACGCGGACGCAGAGCCGCGGCGGAAACTCTGCAGTGACCTGCCCCAAAGTGCTCGCTAAACCTGTCACCCGATCCGAGCGCTAAGAAACCAAGGTCGAGAGGTCATCATAGCCAATGATTGTAAATTTAGCAAAACCTCGCCAGGGCCACACAAAGAGGAGGAGGGGGGGGGGGGCAAAAGGGGGCGATTTTTTTATGGGCCTCACTCAAAAGAGGGCCCTACCAGGGGCCTGGTCTCTTTAGCTGCTAATGAACAAGGGGGCCCCACGTGGCATTCTGCCCCAGCCCTCCCAGCCTCCCCCCCCCCCCCCCCCCCGGGGCCTCCAGAAGCCTCTGGGTGGTGGCACCTTATAACTTTCCAATGCTTCCTGCCCACTTCCCAATCCCACAGACGTTAAAAAAGGTGACGCCTGACCTCCCAAGAAGCCGTTAGTCCCGTCGCGGCAGTGTGGACTTCCCTTTGCTGCAGGCTCGCCGTGTCCTCACAGGACCGCTCTTCCAGCTTTTCCATCATCATCATCACGATTTGGATTCGCGTCTTCCCTTTGTTGCTCGCTCTGAAGTTTTGCTGCGGGTGGGGTGGGTGAGGGTGGATTTTTGTCCACTCACTACTCTCTCGCTCGCTCATTGACTCACTCACTGGCGCAGTGACTCATCACCCCGCCTATTCGCTCGCTCGCTCACCGACTCACTCACCGGCTCTCACACGAGCTCATTCATTCACGACCCATTGTACTCGCTCGCCCGCGCTCACTCACTCACGAACTCACTCACTGCCTCAATCGCTCCCCCCGATCGCTGCCCCCTCCCAGCCCCCAATGCATTTACCGTCACTCACCACCCGAGTGTCCGGACAAAGGTGAGGGGGCCGCTCGCGCTGTGCCGCTCACCCAGGCGGAGTGCGACGACGGATGTTCACAGGCGGCCCCGCGATGAATCAAGCGCCACCCGGGTGGAGGCAGTGTTTATTAATTAATTAGATGGGCCTGTCCGTCGCTCCGAACAACAATGTTTACATTGAACATCCGTGTGCCGGCCCGACACATTCTCATCGCTCTCTCTCTCTCTCCTTCTCTTCTCTCCCACTCCCTCACTCACACACCCTCGTTCCTCCCTGCTGCCGTGGTGCGCTATGATAGGAGGAAGGTGGGTACCTCCTCCTCTTCCTCTGCTGTTCCCAGGTCTACATCAACACTGGCAGGCCAAGTGACTGCTTCTCCTCCGCTGCGTGCCATTGATCGTGCAGGGCGCGTTGCCCACCGTGCCCCGCTGCACCGTACACGCGGAGAGGAACAAAGCCAACACGGTCGCGTTGCACGTGGATACAACGCAACACGCCGGTACAACGCAACACGTGGATACAACAACGTTCAGGGCGTCAAGTGCCCCGCAACGGCACTCCCCAGTGACATCCCCGTGACGCTGCGCCCACACGTGTTCATACACCGATGCGGTTATATCATTGCGGTGCTACTGACGCAGCCCGACCATCATTGCTGACGTCTCTCCTTCATTACTCGCGTAGGGCAGGCAACGAAGGACGAGCGGCCTCGCTGCGAGCGACTTCGACGGCGTTCGCGGTCGCGCCGAGCGTCGTGCCAAACCACAAACACGAAACAACCCGAAACACACTTCGGGGTCCCAACTTAGGTGTGCAGCTACAAGATAAGAGCTGTTTGTGGCTTCTTGGGGTTGCTCAACTCGCTTGCTCATTACTCGCTATCCGAGCGAGCGGGCGAGATGCCGGTTCAAACAGGTGACGCTTCGGGGGACAATCGCTTCTTGGCCTCTGTAAAAAAAAAAATTACTTTCAAAATCGATGCCTGCCAAATGGGGCTCCGCTCCGCGAGCTGCTTGCTCGGCGTCACAATCGCGGAAAACTGAAAATAAATACAAAAAGCCTCCCCTGGAGCGGAGACTCCAACAATAGCAACGCCGCGTTTCCCAGAGCGACAATCATCACTCGTCGAGAGTGAGCGGCGGGGCCGACGGGACAGGAGACGGCGGCGCGGGAACAGCCCCCGGGGCTAAGCAAAGGGTCCGTTCGGAAATTGCCCGTTCCATCATCTTCCCTTATCGGGCCCCGCATTCACTCCCCTCTCGCCTTTGCCGGCGAGCGCGACGAGCTGCCGTTTGTCATCCGCCACAAAGCCGCCACCGCCGCCGCCGCCCTCGCGAGCGAGGTTGTAAATGCGCCTCGTTCCCTCGTCCCGCTTGGCCGCGTTGGGAGCGGTGCTCGCGTGGAAGGCTCCGTAATTGACGTCTGTGACCATCCTCTGACAGCGTCGGTCTCGCCAGCCATCGCCTCTCCACCCCGACCACGACCGCTCGCTCTCGCACCCATCACGACGACCGCTATCACCACCATCGCCAGCAGCGGTGCCGCCACCCCTACCCCGACATCTCCAGTGCCCAACACTACCACCACGACCATCATCGCCAGCACCACCACCGTCAGCCGCTACCTCCGTCGCCGCTGTTTGTTGCCCGGCAGACGACGCAACCGCGAGGGCTCGATGGGTCGACAGACATTTTGATCACCGTGGGTGCAGTGGCCTGAAACGACCTCTGTCAGTGTCTGAGACTGGTAGAGAGGTGGGCCCCGAGAAGGCGCTGCCCGGGGCTCTGTGACTCGCAGCTCTTCACGCCAGCCTCCCCCGCCCTGCTCCACCTCCACCCTCATCGCTTCCTCCCACTGCAGCCATCGAAAGGGAGTACAGATTGACCGTAACTGTGCTTTTTGAGACGAGACTCTCAGCTCTCCTGACTGCCACGTGACAGTACAGCAAGCAGGTCGCTGGCACATCAGCGCGCAGTGCACTGACGTAACTCACTGTGAGCGTGACTTGTCTCCGTGTGCTCCGGTTTACTTCGCCCCACAGCACGGGGTTTGGCCAAACATCCCAATGGCAACCAAAGTTTTACCAGGTGGATCACGCTGTGCGCTAATCGTGGCGTGGCTTTAGCCCATGCACCCCTGGAGCACGCGTTGCCCCCCCCCCCCTCCCCGTGTGTTTCACCCAACACTGCCACGATCAGACTCCATCGCCGTGTGGCTGACAACCCAGGAGGAAATTCAACTTCCCAGCGTGTCGGCCGTGGCGGCAGTGGTGCCACTCGTCTCTATACAGCAAGAACCGCCTGGTTTCGATTCCCCACCCAGGGGAGCCCTCGCCGAGTCTGAAGACTTGGTGCACATTCGATTCCTGCTTCGGGTGTCTGACCAAACCAGTAGCTGTGGGGGACGTGGAATTTCCACCACTGGCTCAGGGCGGCCAACCAGGCTGGGCACTGCTTGCACCTCCCTCGGTTGAAGCAGAGAAACGCCCGCAATTTGTTTGGCTTTCAATTCCGCTAAACCACAGCTTTTATTTGACAGAGTTGGGACCTGCGGGGTGTCGGAATTGCCTCCTATAATTGCACGTCCATAATTAGTAGTAATTAGGGTTGGAACTAAAGGCGCCGAGGCTGTAATGAGCTCGTGCAGGGGGACACTTCGCTAATGCTGTGGCTCCCACGCGGCAGGCCGCTGGAGATGACGACGTCGCGTTTCCGTTCCGCACAAGCAACGGTTGCCGTCCTCGGGAAGCGAGGGGTGAGAATCCCCGGGCAGCTCATTGCTCAGCCCGCCTCTCAGCCCGTCTGTCCGATCGTCTCTCCACTCGTCTCTCTGGTGTCACACGTCGCCTCCGTTGCATTCACTGCCGTCGTGCCCCACCCCCTGCACCCCCCGCCCCCCCCCCGGTATTCGATCCAACAGCGCGGCCGGAGGGGATTGAAGCTGCACCAGCGGGGGGCTCTCAGATGATTTTTTTACGAAAAACAAAATGATCAAACTCGTGATATTTTAATTGCGTAACTGGTGGGATCTTTAATTCCTGTTGAGAACGCAAATAAAACCATCGCAATGGTTTCCCCACTCAAACGAGCGTAAGGGAACGGATCATCGTCTTCTCTGACAGCCCAGAGCTCGTGGTCGAAATTCCACATTCCTATTGCACGGTTGCTTATCCGTAAGACTACCATTTTAGAATTTCCGAAAAACGGAACTCGTTTTAGTGACCACAGAGAGATGATTGGCTCAGTTGGCCCCCAACCAGGCTTTGAAATCACAACTATCTCACCACTGCGCCATCCACATCGAATCGTCGAAATATGCTGGGTAGTGTCCGCTGAACCCAGCCAGGCCAGCGTGAGTCCACGTGTCTGGGTGCACTTAGCCCAGGATGACCCAAGGAACCGCAGGTAATTCACTCACCACCCACTGTGCACCGTCGTGCCAAGGCCCCACTCAGCACAGATAACTTGCCACGTTTCAGCCACTCCGTGAGCATATGTAGTAGCCCAGTGTGTTAGGCGTCTGGTAGCTTGCATGGCCCAGGTCTGCTCAGTCCATTTACCCTTCTCTGCTCCCCCTGTCTGCCCAGCCCAGGCCCAACGGTGCAACTGGTCAGAATATAACAATGCATCGAGTCATCAATGAATGTGGATTCTTTATCTCGCACGACAGACATGTAAAGCTGTGTGTGTAATCGACGACAATTTTCAATTCGTGTCCCTTCTACATAATTAGTCCACACGGCCAACTTCAACCTTCACTCGTGGGCTCTACATTCGCCCCGGTGGGAAAGCAAACTGAATGTATCCTTGGCTCGAAACGCATCCCTCGAATCGCGACAATCCATCGGCTCGCCATGGGAGAGACTCGTTTCACCGCGCGCTCCTACCAAGCGCATCTCACACGACGCTCACTCCCCCCCCATCCTCCCCGGTGTCGGGAGTAAAGGCCACGCGGGCGCCGCTGAGCACAAACGCATTTCCTGCCACGTCGAAGCGTCAGTGCCGGGGTAAACGGGACGGACGTTGAGCTGTCGGGACGTGAGGCGGCTTCTCATTGAGTCGAGTTCCCTCTCTCCCTGCCCGCGTCCTCTCACCGCGCCAGCCCTCCGTCTCGCCGACTACCCCAGCATTCATGCACCGACGCAACAGTCACCAGGCGGAACCGGTTACGGTGGAGTCGCTTTTGGGTGCGCTGGTTGTGCAACGGCATCGGGGCCAACGGAATAAACGGGGCACAGGCGCCAGGCCAAGAAAAGGAGAGGGTGGGGTACCTAAGACCGGGGTAAGGCCGGGGGGGGGGGCATTGCTTTCCTTACTCCGGTGCCCGCAACTCCATCGGCGATTGCAGCATGTCAGCCTCACCCATGTCGCTGCGCCCGCTCTGTCCCCCACCTCTGTGCCGTGTGCCAGACGGCTACTTTCCTCCCCAGAAGCCAATCCTGCGCCAGCTGGGCGTGCGCACACGTAGACGGCCACACCGACTGGGTGGCCACACCCAGTGGGTCAGGCACACCAACTGGCCGGCCGACCCAGCGACCCAGGCAGACACCGATTGCTCACCACAAGCCAAAAAGACCAACGGTGGCAGCACGGGTGAGCGACCGCAAGAAGGGGCCGGCGTGACCGTCGGTGGTGGTAGCGGTGACGGTGGCGTGCAGCCCACGTCACAATGCATTAGGCGGCGGCGATGATGGTGGAGCAGGACGGGTCCGTCGGGTGCAATCAGCCACGCCGGCCGCAGCTGCCAGGGAGGCGCGACGGGGAACGCGTGCGGACACATGAGAGGGCGCGGAGCCAATCTCGGCGCGACGGGACGCCGCCGTTATTCTGTTCGCCCATCGAAGGAGCCGCTCCACTCTCCGCCAGCGCCGTGTTGGACGGTCGTGCGAGGCGCGGTGACGGAGCTTGGTGGGAATGTCCACGGACTCAGGCAGACAAAATGAGAGAGATTCGTTTTCTTTGAATTCAGCAGCAACGATCTCGGAATCAAAGAGACAAACTCTGGGGTGCTGGGGATTCTTATGAATCGGTGAAAATGCCAGAAACTCGGGAACAAACGAAACCATAATCACAATTTTTAGGATTCAGTGGAAACACCTAAGGCTCCACGAACAAAACTGTGGCATATTTACGATTCTTTGAATTCAGCAGAAACACCAAGGGCTCATAGAGCCAATGAAGGTAACCTTCCTGCCCTCCCTTGTTTTCTCTTCTCTCCGAGTTTCTCTGCCTCTGGCGGTGCTCTTGCGCCGTGTAAGGGTTTGTGGTCGGTGTCCCACGGCAAATATTTCACGGAGAGGCCAACAAACACAAAACCACAAAATGCTGTTACACCCTCCAGTCTGGCACCATGCAGCTGAATTGACCACGGGGATACACCGGGCCATGAGGAGACACGGGGGCCGTGGGGAGACACGGGGGGAGACACGGGGGGAGACACGGGGGCCGTGGGGAGACACGGGGGGAGACACGGGGGCCGTGGGGAGACATGGGGGCCGTG